GAACTGTACTCCTGATACAATCGCAATCCAACACAAAAGTCACAGCAGTAAGAGACATTATAACTCTCTTTCTCTCCTTCCTCCTCCTGCCTTTCAAGGCTATTGCTAAATCTTCATTTTTTCTTCTATAAGTTCTACAAATTCTATTTCTACTGCCAAAACCATCATTCTTGTCTTGGTAATCTCCTGCCTGAACTACTACAACCTCCTATTCCTTAGTTCAGAGGTTCTCAAACTGTGGTCAGTGGACCACCAGTGGTCCGCGAGCTCCATTCAGGTGGTCCGTGGATAGTTCCCTCTAAGGTGCATGCTGGGTGGCCACACACAAGAGAATGAAGGGTCATCCACCTAATTAGTGGAGCCGCGCAGGCATGGCTCCACAAATTAGGTGCCTGGACCCTGGAGAAGACACACATGTAAGGTGAGGTGGCCTTGGGGAGGATACGGGGTAGATGGGAGGGGGCAGTGGGGTGAGACGAGGGGGTGGGGGGCATATGGGACATGCAGGGCTGCGGCGGCCAGAGAAAGAGGCGACTTTCCCCAACTCCAGGGCTGCGGCTGCCAAGGAGAGACGGTCCTCCTTCCCAGCCTCAGCTCTGTAGCTGCTGTGGCAGGGGAAAGATCCCCCCCTCCTTCCAAGCCCCAGCTCGGGGGCTGCTGCAGTGGGGGAGAGGGGCACATCCATCGCATTAGAAAGGTAAGACTGCTGATATTAAAATATTAGTTGTGTGCTTTTATTTGTAGAACAAAAAACATTAATTATTATAAAGGTTTTTTTTTTATATAGCGCTTTTATCCAAAGCGCTTTACAATAGTTAGCTAACAGTACAAACAACATTTGGAAAGATCATTAAGTAGTCCGCCGAGACCCTCAGCGATTTTCAAGTGGTCCGCGGAAAAAAAAAAATGAGAACCACTGCCTTAGTTTACATGACTCTCATTTGACACCTCCCTGTCTATCCAATAGGCGAGTGGTTCTCAAAGCCGGTCCGCCGCTTGTTCAGGAAAAGCCTCTGGCGGGCCAGGCCGGTTTGTTTACCTGCCGCGTGCGCAGGTTCGGCCGATCACGGCTCCCACTGGCCGCAGTTCGCCGCTCCAGGCCAATGGGGCCTGAGGGAAGCAGCGCGGGACGAGGGAGGGGCCGAACCTGCGGATGCGGCAGGTAAACAAACCGGCCCGGCCCACCAGGGGCTTTCCCTGAACAAGCGGCGGACCAGCTTTGAGAACCGTGGCAATAGGCCACTGCTAAACTCATCATCCTCTTCCACTACTCTGTCGTCACAAATCAATCCTTCAAACGTTTTACAATGCTGTCTACATCTAATTCAAACTGCTCATCTTCACCGTGAAAGCTCTAAACAGCTCTTCCTATATCTCTGTGTGAAACGTTTGTATGAAAACCAAAAAAAGCATAGCATATTGCTACTACATTTTCTATATGGCAACTCAAAACAAATTTTGTTTGATAGTACAGTAGTTGTAAATAAATGCAGTATCACAACATTGGGTCTTGTTCCCACAATCAGCTCTGTAGAGACAAACCCATAGCAATGGGGTTTCACGGGGGGGTGAGGGGAGTGCAGGGTCTGCCAATTCAAAGCTCACAGGAAGATCAGACTTAACTAAGACTCAGTGAGTGGCATAGGCTTTGTCTGAAAACAGAAAATACTTCTAAAACAGGTTTTAAAATAACTAAAGCTATGGTTCTAAGAAAATGTAAGACTAAGCAGTCTGAGTAGTGAAACCTTAAATCAATTTTCTATCAATGAAAACGGATGTACCACATAGATGCATACAAGTAGTTAATTGCACAGCTTTGTAGTAACACAAATGTACAAGTTCATCTGCTGAAGAAAACATGCCAAACAGCCACAGATAAAAGTCTTTACAAGCAATGCTTGCAAAGTCTAAGTAATTTTTAAAGTGCGCACAAGGAATAGCAATAGCTCCAAGTTTTTTGCTTTATTAATTCAAATCCCCAGAGAAATTAAAAGCAAAAGACTAGCATCAACTGTACACTGACATCACAAAACCAAGCACTAAAGCATAAAATTATTAAAAAGAAAACTAAAGGCTTTCAGCAACATTATTAAGTTAGCTAAGTTCAACATATGTAGTATCTTTTTATTCCTACCTTCCTTGTTGAAAATGAAGTTTAATGAAATTATTGTTACTAGGGAATATCATAAAACATATTAGCCTCTCCACTAAGTGAAAGGAACACTAATGTAAATTTGTCCCAATATTTGGCAAAAACAGGCTTGTATAAAACCAACAATAATGTTTCACAAACTGTTTTTTAAACTCCAATAGAAATAGTTGTTTATAAAATAATCATACTCATGCAATGTTTGAAACCCAAACATTGCGGCACTAGGAACTAAAAAGTGAAACTGACAAACTATAAAAGTAAAAAGAATTTCATGGATTTAAAAAAGTTAAACAATGTAACTGAACAAGTACATAAAGACCATTGTGATGAAGTAAACAAAATTTAAATTTTTTTCTTCCAGTATTAATTTAAGGCCCTGATTCAACAGGATACTAATGCAAGTGCCTAACTTTAAGCACTTTTTAAGCACCATATTGAATCAGGACTTACGGCCCAAAGATTGTAAAGAGATCCATGAAGGCAAATACCATCAGATTAGGCCTGAATAAAGACTGGGAGTGGTTGGGTCATTACAAAACCTAAACTTAATTTCCCCAATACTAATTTCTCCCTACTGTTACTCATACCTTCTTGTCAACTATCTGTAATGGACCACTCTCTTACCACTTCAAAAGTTATTTCTCCTCCCTTGGTATCCTGCTGTTAATTGATTTATCTCGTTAGACTGACTTAACACTTGGTAAAGCAACCCACATCCTTTCACGTATTTATACCTGCTCCTGTATCTTTTACTTCATACATCTGATGAAGTGGGTTCTAGCCCACAAAAGCTTATGCCCAAATAAATTTGTTAGTCTTTAAGGTGCCACAAGGACTCCTCGTGTTTTTTTCTAAGTCAATGGAGCTCACTTCGGGCACAAGGGTCTTCCCATCTGGGTCTTATTCTGAGATCAGGGCCTAAATTACCATTAGGTGTTTATGTACTACCCATGATTTTTATGTTGAAAGTGTCTTTTTAGGTTTTGAAATGTCTGGATTCTGAGTCTTAGGCTTTTGGCATTTAATTATTATAAATTATTTAGCTCAGAAATGTTTAATTGTACAAGAGAGGAATCATATTATTCATACTAAAGAAATTTTTCATTGTTGGAGTGTGAAACTAATTTTCCTTGTGTTATATACTTTTTGTGAAAAGTAAATACTCGTCACTTACAAAAGAACAATTAAAAAGTGTACAGTTGAAGTTGTGTTCTCATATTTTTCACTCACTAAAAATGAAATTATTTTATATTTCCAAAGAAGGGTACCAGCCTTAAAATGCAGTTCTACTCTGAGGTGCCTCTGTAGAATTGGCATGTTCTTACTCAATTAATCTGCTCTGTATGCATATTTAGAGTGACAATGGGTTAAAACTTATTTTTACTACTCCTTCCTCTTGCTTGTATGGTAGAACCAAAACAGGTATTGGATACTGAATCGGATTCAGTTCTGGCTTATTTATCAACAGAATTGTTCATCAAGTTCCAATCCAGAATCTTTATGATTGAGCTGCATAAGTAAGGCTGCAAGTCCGTCACGGAGGTCGCAGAAGTCATGGATTCCATGAATTCAGCAACCTTCTTGACTTCTGCAGCTGCAGCGGCCAGTGCGGCTGACCCCAGATCCAGCCGCTCAGGCAGCCCCAGGGCTGGCCGCGCTGGCCACTGCTGGTGCAGCAGGCGGCTGGAGGCAGTCAGCCCTCACCACCAGAGCAGGGGCCAGCCATCGGCCCCTGGGACCCCCCAGAGCAGCGGCACCCTAGGAGCATCTAAAATTTAGTCAGGCATATTTATAGTACAAGTCATAGACTGGTCATGGACCATGAATTTTTGTTTATTGTCCGTGACCTGTCAAGGACTTTTACTAAAAATACCCATGACTAAATCTTAGCCTTACACATGAGCCAGAAAGCATACACAACTTGCCTTTCAGACTGCATTTAGAGTTAAAATCATAGAATATTAGGGTTGAAAAGGACCTCAGGAGGTCATCTACTCCAATCCCCGCTCAAAGCAGGACCAATCCCCACACACATTTTTACCCCAGTTTCCTAAATGGCCCCCTCAAGGATTGAATTCACAACCCTGGGTTTAGCAGGCCAATGCTCAAACCACTGAGCTAGCCCCCCAAGGCTGACAGTTAAAAGAACAAATCCTCTCACTAACCTAGAAACTGCTGAGAAGACAAGAGGCCTAGAACCCTACAAACCCATTTTTAAAGCCACTGTTCAGATCAGTACCACATTAAAGCCAAAAGATTAAGCAGAGATGTCAGTCCATTCCCTCTGGTCCAGGGCCATCCTGAATTCATCAGCCTCATCCTGCAACCGAACTCGCACATTTTTTTAAACAGGCAACAAAAAACTTTCAGGACTCACAAAATCATCACATCTTTCGGTGTGACACGGGGATATCACATTATAACATCCATGTGGGGTGATACACCGACTGCATGACAACAAAACACTATGGCCCACTGGGGCATCAACAGACTGAGCTGGAGCATCACCAGTTGGTGACACACTAGGGTACCACTTCTGCCACCAGCGTGACACAGCGATGCGCGGGACGGGGGCTGCGACAGCCACGCTTTACCAGGCGGGTGCCCCATCCTCAGGGAGGAACACCAAGATGTGACTGTGCTGGGGCGGGGGGGCGCAGCACTGGGCAAGGTGAGTCCGGCAGCAGGTGCTTGGAGACCTCCAGCTCCGCAGGCCACACGGGAGCAGCAGGCAGCTCGGCACAGGCGCGCGGCCTTGGGGTGGGAGGTGGGCGGCACGAGGCACAACCCTGTCCCGCCCCGCCCCAGAGATCAACAGCAACCCCGCGCCCCTGCCCTTCCCCCACACCTCCACGAAGGCGTCAGTCAGGTCACTGGCTCGGTCCATCACTGGCAAATGGCGTCCGGCCACGATCTTGACCTTCAACTTCCCCGGCATCTTCCTGCCCCCAGCTGCAAGGAGAAAACAACAACAGCAGCGTGTTTGTGTCCCAAGGAACGGTAAGGGGGCGACGTGCGCATGCGCGAAGCTGGGCAACGGTAAGCAACTCCCTCACTCCCCTCCATTCGGAGCGCCCATGCGCATAGCCCTTGAAAGTGGGGGGGCACGCGTGAACCCGCGCGCATGCGCAAACGTTCTATGCAGACCGATTGGGAGAAAAAGTCGTCTTCCGGGCGCATGCGCCGGCGTTGCTGGGTGATACTAAAAGAGAGCCTGTTAATCGCGCCCAACGGTTATCGAAGGTTATTTCTTCGTACCGTTGTATCATACCAAGGTACCGCTCACCTTCGCCTCCTCCCGGCGTGCTGCACAGAAAGGAATAGCAGGGGGCCCGCTCCTCCTCTAAACCAAAATGGCGGCCGCCCTGCGTACGGACTTAGTTAGACCTGACTAGAAGACGATGGTGTCGAGTACCGAATCGTCGATAGGCCACGAGCTAGGCTCAGACACTGTTGGGTAGAAAGGCGATGTGCTTGAATGCCGCATCATCGATTCAACATCACACGGCTCTCGGCCTCCAGGACACTAACGCGAGCAGGTGCGGAGGGTGGGAAGCGGCAAGGCAAAGTGAAGGGTGGGGAGGGATGTTTCCGTATCTGTTCCCCGGGACCCCCGCTTGTGTACCCTTCTCAGTGCACCTTGGCAGAGAGAAATCGGCTCCAGCTTGCTGCTGTCCCTAAGCCTCCCACACGCTAATAGCACAGGTAGCAAAAGAGCCTCGCTGCCCCCACGGCCCATGAAATGCCAGGACGTGAGCAGTATCTCTGCTCGTGGGCGCCACAGAAGTAAGCCCCAGAAGATCAAGTCAGTTTTTATCCATCTGTGACGTTCCCCTGGTGTTATATGGACCGGTGATCTGCTAGGTCACTCCAGTCCTCGACATTGGGAGCCAGCCTCTGCTGTGAGAACCCCGTCCTGGGCTGTTCACGCACAGCCTCTGGCATGTAAACTGCTCTCAGCTACGTGAGTGGGCGCTTTTAGCCAGCCGCTGCTTGGATTGTGCATCCGAATGACACTAGCCAATATCTCTGGTCCCAGGCACAACCCTAGGAACTTCCGTCTTGCAGTGTCCAGTTATGCCTGCTGGACGCTGCAAGCTAATATGAGTTCGTCAATTTAACAAAGAAATTGATATGTACCAGGCTTGTTATCCCAAGGGGAGTCTCTGACATGCTTCAGACCAAACACACTGCTTCAGGTAGAACAAACAAACAAATTTATTAACTACAAAAGATAGAATTTAAGTGATTATAAATCAAAGCACAACAAGTCAGATCTGGTCAAATGAAATAAAAGCAAAACGCATTCTAAGCTAATCTTAACACTTTCAGTGCCCTTACAAACTTAGATGCTTCTCACCACAGGCTGGCTGGTTGCCCTTCAGCCAGGCTCTCCCCTTTGATCAGCACTTCAGTCACTTGGTGGTGGTGTCTGTAGATGGAGGCGGAAGAGAAAGCCAGCATGGCAAACGTCTGTCCCTTTTATCATGTTCTTTCTTCCCCCTTGGCTTTGCCCCCCCCCCTTCAGGGTCAGGTGAGCATTACCTCATTGCAGTCCCAAACTGACCAAGGGAAGGTGGGGATGACTCACTGGAGAGTCCAACAGATCCTTTGTTGCTGCTTAGGCCAGTGTCCTTTGTTCCTGTGAGGCTGGGCTGGGTTTGTCCCATACATGCCCTGATGAGGTGTGAACTGCCCCTCTGTTCCTGGAGAGTTTTGCCTGGGCTTGTTTTAAGCCATGAGGACACATTTTCAGCCTCATAACTATATACATGAAATTACAACCTGTAACATTACTATAAGAACAATGCTCAGTGCTTCATGAGCCTTCCGAAGACACCCGACATGACAAACTTTGCATTAGATACCACACAATCATATTATAAGGATGAACATGGAGGTGCAGGGTGTTCCCCCGAGGTACAGAACGTCACACCCTCCTCACAGATTCTATGGTGGCATCAGTGAAGAACAAGTGGAACTGCTCCTACTGCACCAAAAAAATCCATAGTATGATGCATGTGGGTGTAGGAGCACAGCAGCAAACATGTCTTGCACCGAACCTTGATTTTTCTGGTTGAGTAGGGGCAGGACGTGTGTGCTCTTTTTGGAGGGAAGATCTAGAGGCTTGGCTTGGGGGCCAAAAAAAAGGTGAGCTCCAGCAGGGTCTAGGTGCAGCATATGTCTCTGAGGTGCTATTAAGCAGGGATGCAATCTGGGTCTGTAGTTTGCCATGGAATTAGAGCAACCTCATGTTTCTATTTAGTTGATAGATTCTTTTGGTTTGGGGTTAACAAAAAAGATATGAGTCAGCTGCTAAAAATATGTTTTGGGGGGGCTGTTGCACCGGTTTGCAATGGGGTTTGGACTTTATGTACTAATCCTCATCGACGTCACGGTCTCCTTTGAGAACAAGACCCCGGCATGTCGCGAAGCCAGAGCTCGTAAGCTGGAAAAGTATGCCCCCCTGGCTGACACCCTGAGAGCGAAGGGCTACGAGGTGCAGATGGACGCCCTGATTGTCGGAACCCTGGGCGCCTGGGACCCCTGCAAAGAGCGTGTGCTGCGGACCTGCGGGATCGGTCGACGCTACGCTCGGCTCATGCGGCACCTCATGGTCTCAGACACCATCCAATGATCCAGGGACATCTACATCAAGCACATCACCGGCCACCGACAGTACCAGGAGGCGTGAGCCAGAGTGACATTGTTCTCCCACTATGAAAAAAGAACCAAGAGACCTTCTCTGTTGGCTCATATGAACTGGAACCATAAACTCCCTGAATATTAAATCTCACCAAATGAGGGTCAATCCATCCTCATCATCATATCCACTCATTATACTCCACACCCGAACATAGCCACTCTATGAACTTCATACCCTCATATCTCAATGCCTGTACTTTGACCCATCGACCTTTTACCCCCAATCGGGGATATTGCAGATTATGTATTCCTTATGCCACCAGATTTTAAACCAAATTTTGCACCCTCGATAATCTGTACATTATTCCCTGATAACCAGAAACTTCTATGCTTAAACTCCGTGCCGTTGAGTTTTTTTTTTTTTACATCATCTTAATAAAATTTTTAGAACTGCTGTATCTTATTCCAGACATAAGTTAAAGGAATGTAGTTGAAACTGGCAAGCTCCATCAGAGTCCAGGTACCAGATATCAAGCTTGAATATTTTTCTAAAACATATTCTCTAGGAATTGCTTTGTTACACTGGAGGTCAAACTACTAGATGATCACCACAGTGGTCCCTTCTAACCTTGAAATCTATAAATTTATATGGTTTTCTTGTTCTTGGACCAGGATACATCAGAGTCCTTATTTCAGTGAAGTACGAGCAGCTATACTTGTTTTCTATGTAGATTGTACAGTTTGGGGCAAAAAATATTGCAAAGTTCCAAATGCTAGCTTGTGTGTTTTGTGATGTTCCTAGAATCACAGGACTGGAAGAACAACAAGGAGTCTGGTGGCACCTTAAAGACTAACAGATTTATTTGGGCATAAGCTTTCGTGAGTAAAAACCTCACTTCTTCGGATGCATAGGAACCTCAAGAGGTCTTCTAGTCCAGCCCCAGTATTATCTAGACCATCCCTGACAGGTGTTTGTCTAACCTGTTCTTAAAAATCTCCAATGACAGAGCGCTCTTGGATTCATAGGGGTTCAAAGTTTGCAGGGGGGTTGTTTGTTTTTGTGCAATAAGAGCAGCTATACTTGATCTCTATTTTGATGTCATTTATAAAGAAAAAATAAATATGATGTTATAGGCAGAGTGGCTGTGACCAGATGGAACATCCTGCAACTGTCTGGGATGAGGCAGGATGAATTGAGTCTGGTCTATAATAATATAGAATGGGCTGGACTTAGTCCAGTGCCCCATCCCATTCCATCCAGGCTGAGTCTGGGTCTTAAAGGAACAGTGGTAGGAAAGAGCCACGGATATGGGCATGGAAGCACGGCTGCACACTGACACACTTGCATCTTAATCTGCCCACTACTAGCACTAGAGTTGACAGCAGAGAATATATGACCACAGCACATTCTCTGTTGCCCTTGGGCAGTGTACAGGCTTTTTTGACCATTAATAATTATGATCCAATATAGAACCAGAACGCCACCCTCATCCTCCATGCCCAATAGCCACCTTCAACACAGTCAACCATGTTGTGCTTTTTGAAATTTTGTTTTCCCTTGTCTTCCTTCAGAACACTACCCTTGCCACCATGGATGCCATCTCCCTATATACAAATGTCCCTCACAATGATAGCATTGCTGCCTGCCTCAAATTGCTACTAGACAATGGACAACACTCAGATCCACCTCAAACACACCACTAAACTCATGCCTTTCATCCTCACCCATAACAACTTTACATTTAACAATAAACACTGTATGCAAACAGCCATGGTACTAGGATGGCTCACCAATATGCCAACCTCTTCATGAGCCACCTTGAGGAAGAATTCTGGAAAAGTTCACCACAAAACCAGTGATATCTGATGAAAATATGATTGATGTATTTCCACTGGACAGATGGCCAAAACTCCCTTAGATTTCCACCACAACTTTAACTACCACTGCCCATTCATCAGACTCTGAAGAACACTCCCACACCAGCATCAACTTCCAGGACAAAACAATCAGCTTTGGCATCCTTACTGACAACTATATACAAGAAGCCCATGGATCACCACACTTACCTCCACAAACCCAGTAACCATCCCAGACACAACAAGAAATCTGTTATCTACAGCCCAGGCATTCAGATACCACAGTACATGCTCCAAGAAGAAAGTCCATGATACGCACCTTTACACACTTAAAACCACCTTTTACTAAACACAGATGCTCCACTAGAGAAATAGATTGCATCATGGAATGGGCCACCCAAATTCCCTGAGAGAACCTGCTTCAGTGTGGGGAGAGAGAATCCTCCAACCAAACACCCCTAGTTGTTGCCTACCATCCCACACTAGTACCGATATGGGGTATCATTAAACAATTACAACCTATACTCAATGGGGACCTGTAGCGGGGTGGACACCTGTTCCTGCCTGGGAAGGGTTAAAGCCAGCCCTGCAGAGGGCTGGGGCTGTGGAAGGAAAGACTTGGGCTGATTGGGGAAACAGCTGCAGTTGGGCCACGCCCCAATCAGGCCCCAGCTGGCCTGTATAAAGAGGCTGGGAGCCAGGAGCTCAGCAGTCTCTCTGCACTCAGAGAGAGAAGGGCCTGGCTGTAGGGAGCTGAGACAGGGTACCTGAGTGGAGCAAGGCTGGGGAGTTCCAGCCTGAAAAGCCCCAGGCTGCGGCCTAGCATTAGGCCAAGGGGTACTGGGGGTTGCA